GGGGGGGGGGGGGGGTGTTGATATAAGAGAAGAAGAGGCTAAGAGTAAAATGTGGAGAGATGTTTGTTAAAAAGTGATAAGAAACTTTGAAACCACTGAAAATCAAGAACAAAATTTTAGGAATATCAAGAATGCATTGTTTTCCCTTTTGCAACTTTACCATATCTCAATGGTAAAAACTTTCTAATCAATATCTAGAAACACAGTGCATTCTACTAACAATTCTTTTATGTTTCTCATAAATTATTGCATGAAAAGCCATGAAGATGTCAATACAGACCTCTTCTTGGCAGTAATTTTCCAAGAATTATAGCATATTTTTATACAAGAAAAAAATTTAAAAAGAAGTTGAAGAAAAATATTTGCAATGGCGACTTCTTCGAATCCAAGAAAAGTAGATTCCTCGAACCGACCACCTCAGGCGGTCAAATTCTCACGACGCACGTCCAGTGGACGCGTCGTGAGCTTATCCCGGGACGATGATCTAGACGTCCCAGGCGATAGTCAAAATGATTTTATCAACTATACAGTAATGATGCCACCAACCCCGGATAATCAACCAGGGGCTGATGCAAATGGTGACAAGCCAGATGGTTCTGGACCATATGGCTCGTCTAGATTCAGGACCGAGTCCCAAAGGCGAATGGGTAGTCGTGGAGGTGAAGATGATGATGGTGGTTTTGGTGGTGGTGCGCGCGGTGGAAATGCATCGGGTTTGGATCGTAGGATGTCTGTACTAAAATCGAATAATAAATCAATGTTACTAAGGAGCCAGACTCAAGATTTTGATCATAATCGTTGGCTTTTCGAAACTAAAGGAAAATATGGTATTGGAAATGCTTTTTGGCAACAAGATGAAGGATCATATGATCATGATACTGGAATGAGTATGTCTGATTTTATGGACAAACCATGGAAACCACTTACAAGAAAAAGCAAAGTCCCTCCTGAGATCATTAGCCCCTACAGGTTTGAATCTTATATTTGTTAACAAAAGAAATTTATATAAATTGTGATTCATGGTAATAATCTATGTTGTGCGGACTCTCTAAAACAGTTGCCGCACTCCTTCGAAAATACACTATTTTTGGAGGATCCAAGACGCACCGATCGACATTTTCGAAGAGGTCGAGCAACATAGGCAATAATCATAAAATGAAGAAGTTATTATTCTTTGGCTCAAAAAATGTATCCATGCATGAGAGTGTTTTTGAAGAATTAACCTAAATAGCAGCACGCTCAATCATTTAAACTAAAAATAGCCAGCGGGTATAATATATAATTCATGTGTAATATGTGTAAAGGGGAGCCTTAGCGTAACTGGTAAAGTTGTTGGCATGTGACCAGGAAGTCAGGGGTTCGAGCCGTATAAACAGCTTCGGCCCTTCCCCGGACCCCGCACGTAGCGGGAGCTTAGTGCACCGAGCTGCCCTTTATTTTCATGTGTAATATGAGTTTCATCTTGTGGTTGCTTTCTGATCTTTTTTTTTCTATTCCAATTTCAGATTACTTATTGTTATCCGGCTAGTGGCATTAATTTGTTTTTTGACATGGCGAGTCCAAAATCCAAATTATGATGCAATGTGGCTATGGGGAATGTCAATAGCATGTGAACTATGGTTTGCATTTTCATGGCTTCTTGATATTCTTCCAAAATTTAACCCCATTAATAGATCTGCTGATTTAGCTGCCCTTAAAGAAAAATTCGAAAGCCCGTCGCCTTCGAATCCTCATGGTAGATCAGATTTACCAGGAGTTGATGTGTTTATTTCTACAGCTGATCCTGATAAAGAACCTCCTCTTGTTACTGCTAATACTATACTTTCAGTTCTTGCTGTTGAATATCCTATTGAGAAACTATCTCTTTATATTTCTGATGATGGTGGTGCTATTCTTACTTTTGAAGCTATGGCTGAGGCTGTCAACTTTGCTCAGGTTAAATATTTTTGTTCATCTTGTCTATCTTAAATTAAACTAATATCTACTTCGTAATTATTCCAATTGAAGGGGAGTCTAGTGTGACCTATAGGTCACGAGTTCGAGCCGTGGAAGCAGCCACTAATGCTTCCATTATGTTAGGTTGTTTACATAACACCCCTTGGGTGCGGCTCTTTCCCTGATCCAGCGTGAATGCAGGATGCTTTGTGCACCGGGCTGTTCTTTTTAGTAATTAATCATACTAGAATTTTGATCAAATTTTAGCTAGTCATGGTAGTACGTTTACTTTAGTTGAAAATTTAGTCGTTTGTTAATACGTTTACTTTAAGTCCTATGCGTTTAGGAGTTTTTTTGCCATATTAGATATCTTATACCAATAGGAAATATAGAGGACTTTCAGTAATTTTTTGCTTTATTGGATGGAAAGTAATACTACTAATGCTTGTATTTCTGCTGGTTAACTAAAGGTTTGGGTGCCATTTTGTCGAAAACATAACATTGAGCCAAGAAATCCAGACAGTTACTTCAATCAAAAGACAGATCCAACGAAAAACAAGAAGCGTCCTGATTTTGTGAAGGATCGACGTTGGATCAAGAGGGAATACGACGAGTTCAAGGTCAGGATCAACGGTTTACCAGAAGTTATACGCAAAAGATGCGAGATGTATAACTCAAAAGAAGAAATGAAGGAAAAGGAACTAGCAAAGGAGAATAATGGAGGGGAAGATGTTAAAGCTCAAAAGGCAACTTGGATGGCTGATGGCACACATTGGCCTGGCACTTGGTTTAGTCCTATTGCTGATCACTCTAAAGGAGATCATGCCGGAATTTTGCAAGTAACACTAAATCTTCTCGGCCTTTATTATCATAAACTTGTTTATTGAAATCTTTGTTTTTCAAGTCATCGTTTGACATATACAGTCAAACATCTCTATAGCAGTCTCGTTTGTTCCGGACATTTTCTGGCTGCTATAGCGAAGTGTTGTTATAGAGAACATATGTTATAATATAATATGAAATTGGTTTTAAAAAAAATGGTTGTTGTAATGAAGTGATGTTATAAAGGATTGTTGTTATAGAGAAATCTGATTGTATAGTCAAACCTCTCTATAACAACCTCATTTATTCCAAATATTTTCTGGCTTCTATAGCGAAGTGTTGTTATTGAGAACATATGTTATGACATAACATGAAAAATTGGTTCCAAAAAATACTTGGTCGTTATAATGAAGTGTTGTTATAGAGGATCATTTCGATAGAGAAGTTTGACTGTAGTACTTATCTTTTCCTTGTAGATAATGAGCAAGGTGCCGGAAAATGATCCAATAATGGGAGGTCCAAATGAAAAGCAATTAGACTTCACCGGTATTGACATCCGAATTCCCATGTTTGCGTATGTGTCTCGTGAGAAACGGCCAGGTTATGATCATAACAAGAAAGCAGGAGCAATGAACGCCTTGGTTAGAGCTTCTGCAATTCTTTCAAATGGACCATTTATACTCAACTTGGATTGTGATCATTACGTCTATTACTCCATGGCCATTCAAGAGGGTATGTGTTACATGATGGATCGTGGTGGTGATCGTATTTGCTACCTACAATTCCCTCAAAGATTTGAAGGAATTGATCCCTCTGATCGATATGCTAACCATAACACTGTGTTTTTTGATGGTAAGAATTCTGCAACTCCACAAGTAAGACAATGTTTTCGCAATAAGATTGTAAAAAAGCCTTATTTCTCATGACCTTTGTTCTTATATGCTATGATAACAGGAAATATGCGAGCTTTGGATGGTCTACAAGGTCCTGTATACGTTGGGACTGGATGTATGTTCAGGCGCTATGCACTCTATGGTTTCCACCCGCCACGAGCTAATGAGTACACGGGCTTCCTTGGGAAAAACAAGAAAGAAGCGAAAAATATTACAATGCCATCAGACTTAGATGATGATTCACAACCTTTAACAGGACATCCTGACTTGAACTTGCCAAAGCAATTTGGAAATTCGACGATGTTTGTTGAGTCAATAGCAGTAGCTGAATTTCAAGGACGGCCTCTAGCCGATCACATCACTGTTAAAAATGGCCGGCCACCTGGCGCCTTACTCATTCCGCGTCCTCCACTAGATGCACCAACTGTAGCTGAGGCTATTGCAGTCATCTCTTGCTGGTAAAAAGAAGAATCTTTATACAATTTTACTTAATTTTCGGATTATTATCAACTTGTTAACTATTCTATGACTACTTGTTGTTTCTCTCATTTTGATCATCTTGCTATCTGGTTGTTATTTATGCTGCGTACACACTACCCTCCCCAAACCCCACTATGTAGGATTATACTGGATTTGTTGTTGTTGTTGTATCAACTTGTTAGCTATTTTCCACTTATTTATGTCTTTATGATTCATAGGTTTGAGGACAAAACAGAATGGGGAGATAGAATAGGATGGATTTATGGATCAGTGACAGAAGATGTGGTCACAGGATACAGAATGCACAATCGTGGATGGCGATCTGTCTACTGTATTACAAAACGAGATGCTTTTCGTGGCACTGCACCTATCAACTTGACAGATCGTTTGCACCAGGTGCTTCGTTGGGCAACTGGTTCAGTCGAGATTTTCTACTCTCGCAACAATCCAGCTCTAGCCAGCCCGCGTCTTAAGTTCTTACAACGCATTGCATACTTCAATGTTGGTGTCTACCCTTTCACCTCAATCTTCCTTGTTGTCTACTGTTTCATTCCAGCACTTTGCCTCTTCAGCGGACAATTCATCGTATCGAATTTAAGCATACCGTTTCTTTCCTATCTCTTGCTCATTACTATCACTCTTGTTCTCATATCACTTCTTGAAGTCAAATGGTCTGGTATAGCCCTTGAGGAACTATGGCGAAACGAGCAGTTTTGGCTCATCGGTGGCACGAGTGCTCACTTTGCTGCTGTAATTCAGGGACTTTTAAAGGTGGTAGCAGGCGTTGAGATCTCGTTTACATTGACATCGAAATCTGCTGGTGATGAGGATGAAGACATATATGCTGATTTACATGTAGTGAAATGGACAAGTTTATTTATACTTCCATTGACAATATTGGTGGTGAATTTAACTGCAATTGTTATTGGTATTGCAAGGACAGTATACAGTGTGATACCACAATGGAATAGGCTATTTGGTGGTGCATTTTTCAGCTTTTGGGTGTTGTCACATTTATATCCATTTGCTAAAGGATTAATGGGAAGAAGAGGAAGAGTGCCAACAATTGTATACATATGGACAGGGCTTATTGCTATTACTGTTTCCTTACTTTGGTTATCTATTTCTCAAGGTAATAATACTGATGGAGGAAACTTTAAGATATAGAAAAACGAGAATTAATGCGCCTCAGTCACAAACAAGTTAGATCGGCGATATGAATCCGTAGAAACAAGAAGATCTACAAAAAGGGGTAACCTTTTTTATGTAATGGGAAGGTTATGAATTCCAAGATTGTAATTGTTTTTGCTATTACAGAAAGTTATAAGTATATGAGTTAGATTTAGCTTTGTAGGCCTCCATATTTTGTTAATGTAAAGGAGGAATGTTAATAGCTCAATGGTATTTTATCAATAAAGAATAAGGAGAGTTACACATACCTTCCTTACTATTTTAACATACACAGTCAAACCTCTCTAGAATATCCTCGTTTGTTATGATATTTCTTGGATGTTATAGTGAAGTGTCGTTACAAAGAATATATACTATAACATAATATGAAAAATTGATTCCAACGAAAACTTGACCGTTATACTCTTTGCTGTTATAAAGAATGACTGTTATACATACTTTCTTTATGATGTCAAGTGTTACAAATACCTTCATACTTTAATATTTTGTGTAACAAAACTATAATTAATATAATCTACACATGAACAAGTTTCTCCAAGATGTTTTAATTATATATTTCTTTCTATTTTCTGCCGCAAAACTACCCTATTTTATTCTCATTTTAATTATAACATACATATATTTAATATTTCATGCAACTCAACTGGTTTTGAATTATATATTTCTTCTTTTTTTTCTTTGCTAAAATATATTTCTTCTATTGACCTTGTACTTTCCAAAAAGGTTTTTGTTTTCCTTTTTCTTGCTTTTCGAAATGGCTAGAACAAATTATATATTGACTAAAGTAACCTTACAGTGTTATTCTTTTTTGTTTTCCTTTACTTTCTTATTTGTAGTTGTTGAATGTGAGTCAAAAAGTAAACTCATAGGATTTAAACTTTCGAATTATTTTACAAGGTTAGATAAAATTTTACCATACATTTTCCAAAGCAATATTCAAGACTAACTAAAAGTATTTATGTTCTAATAATATTGTGTTTTGAATGACTTTGAGACAATAAAGGAGACCGTGGAGCAACGGTAAAATTATTTTCGTCTGACCTATAGGGCACATGTTCAATCGGTGGAATCAACCATTGATCCTTGTATCACGGTACGCTGCCTATGTCACATCCCAAGGATGTGGTCCTTCTCTGAACCCCGCGTTAATATGGAATGCCTCGTGCATCGGACTTCGCTTGAGACAACAAAATCAAAGTAGCTCCTTGTTTGAAAATGATTGAAGTTTAACTGTCTGGATATTAGCAAGCAGTAGAATAAACAATCACTGCAAGAAATCTGATCTATAGTGGCGACTTTAAGTGGCGGCTTACTTGGTCACTACAAAAGACAAGGGTATAATTGAACTATGGTTAAATATATCAAGATGTGGTTAGCTTAGTTTACTTAAGCTTAGGTCAGTTAAGCTATCAAGCTATCCGGCAAACTCATAGATTATACATTTAGCTCTTGTACAGATATTGTAATTGTATACGGAATTTTACTATTTGATCAAGATCTGGAGGTTGCCTCGAAGGATGGCCTCGTAATGGAACAGACTAAATCACGAGGATAAGGTACCGAGTTCAGAATCGAGGTACCTGTCGAAATCGAGGCTAGTAGCGATCGAAGCCAAATGAGACAGATATCGAGCAAGATCGAAGATAGCACAATAACAAAAAGGCGAGATATCCGTGACTGGTCGAGGGTCATGGCGTAAATCTCGGAACGGATCAAATCAGAAACGGTTAATTAGCTAATCATGAGATTTCCTTTTGTAATTAGAAATATTATACCATAAGTGGAATTCTTTTACTATTTAATGGGGGGTTCTAATCATTTGTAAGAGACATTGTTCACAGATATCAAAGCAATATAATTCTCTTTCTCGTTTATACTATTGTTCATCAGCTTATTATATTTTAATTGTTCTAACATCAACCCGTTCGAGGGTATTCAAACTCGAGGGCTGAGTTCCATTCTAACACTGGTTTGCTTTACTTTATAGTTCATTTCTGTTATTAATCTTCATATTTATCAATTGGAATTAAGTGAAATCACGTGTCCTTTGAACCATATTATAAGTTTAATTGTTATCCAATTTTAAGGGTAAACAGTTTGACGCTCACCGTGGGGCTAAGGACAATAGTGATTGCTTAATACTTATTCCGATAACACATACTACTTTACACTTGTTCTCGTAAGAATCTTTATTTTCAGGATAAACATGTCAAACTCACAAGCAGCGCCTACACATGGTGACAACAGCCTCGGATTTCACAGGGAAAATGACATAATAGCCGCCCCAGGGATCGAGGCGCCTGAGACTGACCTCGAGGGAGCACCAATTGCAAATTTCGTCGATGTTAGTTCACATGTCGCCCTAAATGCAAATTTGGGCGTTGATCCCGAAGGTAGCATACACAGGGAAGTTCGATCAATTGGTCGAGGTACACATAGCGTAGAAGATGGTGGAGTTAGCCTCCAATTGATATTCGAAATGTTACAGGCTCAACAAGCCGCTATAGCACAACTACAAAATCAGCACCGAACACCGAGTAGGATCGAACCAGAAGTCGTCCACAGGACCGAGCCTGTGCCGGAAAGGTCGAACGCCAATGAATCGGGGACTGACCCCGCCATTATGAAAATGCTAGAGGAGCTCACTAAACGTATTGAATCGGGAGAAAAGAAAATCGAGGCAAATGACAAAAAAATATAGACATACAACTCCCGGGTTGACTAAATACCGGGGGCACCGCCGATTCTAAAAGGTATGGATTCAAAGAAATTCGTACAAAAGCCTTTCCCTCCAAGTGCGGCTCCAAAACCCATTCCGAAGAAATTCTGAATGTCAGAAATTCCTAAGTACAATGGGACCACCGACCCTAATAAGCATGTCACTTCTTATACATGCACAATAAAAGGGAATGACTTGGAAGGCGATGAGATTGAATTTGTTCTACTGAAGAAATTTGGAGAAACCTTATCGAAAGGAGCAATGATATGGTACCACAATTTGCCGTCTAATTCCATCAATTCTTTCGCCATGCTTGCAGACTCCTTCGTAAAGGCACATGGCGGAGCAATAAAGGTTGCGACTAGGAAGTTGGACCTCTTCAAGGTGAAATAAAAAGACAACGAAATATTGAGGAAATTTGTATCTCGGTTCCAGATGGAACGCATGGAACTACCACCGGTCACAGATGATTAGGCTGTTCAAGCCTTTACTCAAGGTTTGAACGAACGAAGTTCGGTGGTATCACGATAGCTAAAGCATAATTTAATTGAATATCCAACGGTAACCTGGGCCGATATACATAATCGGTACCAGTCAAAGATCATGGTCGAGGATGATCAATTGGGGACCCCTTCCGGTTCCGTTTATCCAAATAGGCCCGTCGGCAGAACTCAAATATATATCGACAGAGAACCTCGGTCGAACAGAGATCGATATCAACCATACAACGCAGATCGTAGAAACAGCGGCACATGACGCAATTCCATCTGAAATGATCGAAGGAATGATCGAGGACAGAGCTCTCAAGGGCTCATGAGCAAAAGTGGCTTCGATAAATATGCTGATCCCACAGAAGCACCACGATTATCTGAATACAACTTAAGCATCGACACATCAGGTATTGTGTCAGCCATTGGGAGAATCAAAGATACTAGATGGCCCAAACCCCTACAAACCGATCCATCCCAAAGAAACCCCAATCAAATATGCAAATACCATGGTACACATGGTCATAGAACCGAAGACTTCATACAACTAAGGGATGGGGTGGCCCGTCTATTCAATGAGGGTCACCTTCGAGAATTCTTGAGCGACCGAGCTAAAAACCATTTCAGAGACAGGGATGCAAATAGGAAAAACGAGCAGGAAGAACCACAGCACGTGGTTCACATGATCGTTGGTGGGGTCGATATTCCACAAGGGCCCGTGTTCAAACGCACTAAAGTATCAATCACCAGGGAAAAAGGAACTCGAGACTATATGCCAGAATACACTTTATCATTCAATGATGAGGAAGCAGAAGGGATCTCACAACCCCACAATGATGCTTTGGTAATCTATATCCTTATGAATAAAATTCAAGTTAAACGTGTTTTAATTGATCCAGGAAGCTCGGCTAATATTATTCGATTGAGGGTCGTAGAGCAGCTCGGCCTACAAGATCAGATCGTACCCGCAGGTCAGATTCTCAATGGCTTCAACATAGCGAGTGAAACAACTAAAGGTGAAATCATCCTACCAGTAAATGTAGCTGGAACTATTCAAGAAATAAAGTTCCATGTGATCGAGGGCGATATGAGATACAACGCACTACTCGGAAGACCCTGGATTAACAATATGAGGGCAGTCCCCTCAACCCTTCACCAAATGCTGAAGTTCCCAACACCGGATGGAGTAAAAATGGTGTATGGGGAACAACATGCTGCCAAAGAGATGTTCGCGGTCGATGAAATAATACCGGTATTGGCGCTTTCGTCAACAAAGGGATCAGAGTCCAAAGGAAAACAGGAAGCTAAATAGCAACCATATCCACCAACCTCGACTCAGTCGGAGAAGCAGGGAACGGACGAGGACGATGACTACTGGACCCCTCGATCCTTCATAATCCCCGAGGATTCCGACGCCACCAAATCGACAGTTGAAGAGCTGGAGCAAGTCATACTGATCGAGCATCTACCCGATCGAAAGGTATACCTGGGTACGGGGTTAATCCTCGAGCTCAGGGAAAAACTCATTAAATTTCTTATCAATAATATGGATTGTTTTGCTTGGTCCTACCTAGATATGACAGGAATCCCGCCGGATATCACTATACATCGACTGAGCTTGGACCCGAAGTTTCGCCCGGTAAAACAAAAGAGAAGGCCCCAGTCCGAGGTAAAACATGCATTCATCAAGGACGAGGTAGCCAAACTTCTCAAAATAGGATCCATTCAGGAAGTAAAATATCTCGAATGGTTAGCAAACGTAGTCGTAGTCCCTAAAAAGAGAAATAAACTTAGAATGTGCGTAGACTATAAATATTTAAACAAAGCATGTCCTAAAGACTCTTTTTCTCTGCCGAATATCGACCGCATGATCAATGCCACGGCCGACCATGAGATCCTTAGTTGTCTCGATGCCTAATCTGGGTATAATCAAATATAAATGAACCCGGAGGATCAGGAAAAGACTTCGTTCATCACTAAGTACGACAACTATTGTTATAATGTAATGCTGCTTGGACTCAAAAATGCTGGTGCCACTTA